AATGTTATATAGAAAAAGTTATATATATTAAAGTTATTATAAGTTATAAGTTATAAAAAGTTATTATATAGCAGGTGTTGCTACGTAGTGTAAATTTGGCTTTAAACTAAAGCTATGGACGCAACATAGATTTGCTATTAAGCATCAGCACTCAAGCACTCATTTTGACGTATATTTTGAGTTATGCACAAACTGCCTCCCTGTACATTACTTACGGGAGTTAAATTTGTGTTTTTCGAGTTCGTTTGGCTCTTCTACCGGGCCGATTTTCATAATTTTGGTCTCAAAGCTATGCAAGCACATATTTGTCATCATTAATCTATCAAATGTATTACCCTACGGAAACAATTAAATTGGATTTTTTAAATTTTTACTTTAATTAAAAATTTATTTCAGCAGTTACATTATCCTATATGTTTTTATCTAAAAATCTTCAGTGAAATACCAGATTCCATTGAAATGATTGATTATTGAGATTGGACGTACCTAAAGCACACTGCTAAATCGTAAACTACCCAAATTGTTTAAAAATGGAGTTATCTATAATCGATTTATAGTTAAAAATATCTTGCTTGCAGCCTCAACAGTACCTAGGCTAATTGTCGACGTTGACGGGTTTCACCTAGCAAATCTTAAAATATTAAACTTTCATAATTATTTGAAAATCTACACGAAATGCTTTCCAATGACCCATTAGTTAATAAACCCGGAGCAGTAGAACTCTAGACTTAGTTGTACAAAGATTTTTAAAACTGAATTACTAGATTTAATTGAAAATCAATTAAGACAAATGGAAATTCGTTTAGTCTGCAGGTTTGCTGTGGCGGGGGTATTTTGTACTACGATCGTATTTCTAAATAGTGCTTATAACCACTATTATAACATTTTTCAGCATTAAATTTCCTATAATTTGATACCCAAAAAGTTATTTTTACTAATATTAAAATTTTGACACTTCTTTTCAAGATGGCGGCCAAAAAACGTATTTTGCGCCACAGTATGGATGTATATTTTTAGTATGTTGATTAGAAGCATACTACCTACCATTCACAGCAAAAATCATTTGTGTTGCAATTAGTTCCACCTTAAGCTATATTTTCGATTATTTCTACTGCACTATATCTCCAGTTCTTATTAACGCTTGTAGTTCGTTCCAGGCTTAAAATATTCAGTAATGTAAGGGCTTTCCTTTGAGCTCTTGATCATTAAAATCAGATGAGTTAAAGACCAGCTACGAACCTCAGAACAATATTAAATTTAACTTTTTAGAAATATACTTTTATTAAAAGATTTATAACTCGGGTTGTTAATACGTCACCAAGTTCTTTCTGGTCTCAAATTACTCAGTAAATGTTTGGCTTTAATTTTATTGATCACTAAACAAAATCTGAAAAATTTAAAATTAGTCATGAATCTTCATTTAACAGTAAATATTTTTTTTTTAGAAATGTGTCTTAAGTTAAGGACTTATATCCCAAACCCTGATAACTCCCAATAAGTAATCCCTAGCTAAAATAAAAGTCAATAATGTTACGTATTATTTAAGACTATTAAGAGTTTTGGGAGTTATTTAGAATTGGGGATATACGTCTTTAACTAAAGACAAATTTCAAAATAAATACATTTTAATATTAAATTATGGTCCAGGACTCATTTTAAAATTGTCAGATTTTGTTTAATGATCAATAAAATTAAAGCGAAACATTTACTGGGTAATTTGAGACCAGAAAGAACTTGGTGACGTATTAACAACCCGAGTTATAAATCTTTTAATAAAAGTATATTTCTAAAAAGTTAAATTTAATATTGTTCTGAGGTTCGTAGCTGGTCTTTAACTCGTCTGATTTTAATGATCAAGAGCTCAAATGAAAGCCCTTAAATTACTGAATATTTTAAGTCTAGAACGAACTACAAGCGTTAATAAGAACTGGAGATATAAGAAAAATAATTTAAAAAAAAATATCAAACTACGAAACGTCCATAAGAAATGTACGGTGGAGAGTTTTTGTTTGAATATATCTTCTAAGTGAATACAGATATTTAAAAACGGATTTCGGCATTGAAATCAGTGTAAAAATTTAGTTGGTAATGATGTGTCACAACACTATCATTACATTGAAAAAAAATTATCTATGTCCAATATGGCGGATCCAAGATGGCGGCCAAAAACATGTTCCCTATCAAAATGAAGTACTAACCACCCAATAAATACAGGCGGTGGTCCCAAGTCAATATCTCGAAAAATGTGCATAACAAATGCATGTGAATTATGTTTTTCCTACAGTCGCCCGACAAAGTTGGCTTCCTTGTACTGTTTATAGTACAGAAAGCTGCTATTTGCTGCATATTTATACTTTGCCGTACGGTTTATACTTTGCCGTACGGTTTATACTTTGCCGCACATCAGGATTCCAACGAAACAACACAAAACAGCGTGGTTCTATTATGCACGTAATCCGTGTAAGCTTGGAAATAGGTTGGCAACACTTAAAGATAATAATACTATGAGCAGCTGATTGACTATTATAACTACGATTTAACCTGTCATTTCGTGTTTATAGTTTCGGTATTTATTCTGAACTTTCTAGACTTTTCTTTTAAACGTTTTTAAAACGTTCCTACGATCTTAATAAACAAGAAAATACCTTTAAAGCATTTTTTTAGGCGCGGAAACCACTTCAAATTACAAAAACATACGGAACTATATTCTCAAAACGTGGAGCACATTTCTTGCCGAGGAAAAATAGTGGAGTGATACGGACCGCGGGTACTACTTTCTCTAGGGCACCATTTGTGTTGCCAGCTGAACCTAAAAACGTGTTGTATAGTGTTTGAAAGACTAATTATTTATATGCTTTATAGTGACTGTAGGAAAAATATAATGTGTAACACGAGTGAAAAAGGCCTTTGCTGCACTCGAGATCATTCCGCACTCGCCTGTGGCTCGTGCGTAAACATTGCTCTCGTGTGCAGCAAAGTGCCACTTTCACCACTAGTTACACAAATAACTATTTCTTAATTTGTCCAATGTTGGAAAAAGCCGCCATTTTAAATTGTGATTTTAGTGGTTTTCTCATGCACCGATTTTTTGGCAACTTTTAGTATGTCATTCTGCAAACCCAACTCTACAAAATAAAACCATAAAACGTTTTCTTGCAATTTTTTTAAGGCCATATCCTCCTATATTTCTCCGACTACAAGGTATTATTGACATTATATAAATGTAATACCCCCGTCGCAGCAAACCTGCATACTAAGCGAATTTCCATTCACCAGGCTCGATTTCTACTAAAATATTCCCTATAAATTTTCAGATTTATTTCCTATTTAAATAACATTAATTTTAGTGAGTAGTTAGGTTTGCTGCTACGGGAAAGATGTTGAGGTGTGTTTTTTTCAATTGAAATATTGATAGCTTAGTATGCAATAAGCCAAATTGCCAAATTTGATTGAAATATATCCATAAACAAGCAAACTAGAACAGTTTATTTATTCTCCATAAGAATAACATGGGAATTTTACATTTACAATTTCATTAATTTTCTCCGTAGTCAATGAACATTCAAAAAAACTTCAATATACTAAATTATTTGTTTTTTTTAAGCTCTTCAAAATGGTCTAGAGAGAAATTTAGAAATTTAAAGTTTTTAGGGTCAAAAATGAGAAAAACCCATTTTTACCCCATAAAACCCCCCATAAACCCCTGATCCCATGGTCCGATTATGCTGGTTTGCGAACTCGTTCGAATAAATTGTAGGTTTACACGTTTGTACCAAATTTCATCAAAATCGGATCAATTTTGCTCGGGTTATCGCGCTAACAGACACATATATAAATATAAATATATATATATATATATATGAATTTGAACGGATGGTGTTTTTGGCCTCTGGGGACCTCAAAACGAAAAAGTAAATCGGTCCCGGGTCTAGGTCTTACCATGAGACCTACGGTAATAGCTTATTCCCTATATGGGAAATTCGCTAAAAACACAATTTCGCACCGTATTGTCATTGAATTGCGTTGCCGACATCCCTGCAAAACACGTTTGTGGCACCCGCAGGCGTACCAACCCATATCTATTACAATCCGAAAAAGCGCCGATGAAAAGAGAGCCGCTGGCGCTGGCGCCAGTGTTGCCACTTTTAGGGTAATTACCCTTTTTTAGGGTAATTTACTGGTCCTAGGGTAAAGTTTAGGGTAATGGTAGATTTAGGGTAATTTTAGGGTAAAACTAAAAGTTAGCATAACAATGGAAATTTTACTAAAAACATAAAAAAAACTTCAAAATTTGGCAAAAAACGTTCATTGCATACTATGGCCAAGTCATCATATTCGATTCAACCGGTTTAAATCCATTGCTATGATGGATTTTTCGTAATAAGTTATCCTAATTGGTCTTATCAATAGTTGTGAATTATCTGTTTTAGAATGTATTTGATTCTATAACACGTTATAGGCCTAATAAAATATGAAATATTATTCATTACTAGGTTTGATATTTAATTATGTGATTAAATTGAATTAAACTGGACTATTTTACAAATTGTGTCAAGAAATTACTACTATGTATAGCTTTGGTGGTACCGTACTGTACTTTAAATATGATTGTCCAAAAGACAGTAGTAATGTGGGTCGATACAGTTGCGAAATATATACGATAGTTCTTGATTCGATATTTTCCGTATATACGATAGAGCTGAATATCAACATTTTGTTCTTCTTTCAGGATGTTTTTTTAGAATCGAGTATAATTTTACATAAATTGATTGATATTGGAACTTCATTTAGTGAAATTAACCATCTTATGTAAGATTTATATGATTTTAACAATGTTTTATGGCATTAAACGCCAATATTAACATTTAGGGTAATTTTTAGGGTAACTCGAAGTAGATTTAGGGTAATTTAGGGTAATTTTAGTCCGCCTTTAGGGTAAAATCGCAACAACGTGGTGGCAACACTGGCTGGCGCTAACTTCACGACGGTACAAGGTACGTACAAGGTACAAGACCAAGACATGCCATGTCCGTCCGTCCGATTTTTAGATAGGCTATCTCATTTTGGCCTAGTCATTTATATTTATTTAATTCCGTTTTCTTAATCTTATGATGTACTGAACACCACCCACAAGTTAGTATCCAACTTTCATTTTTTAAACCATGATTTGAATTGACCATTGTGTTTTGACATGGATTAAGTTAAGCCTAGAAAGTTTATTGCCTATGGATAGGCCTATGGCTCAGGCTGGCATGTTATTTTTTTTCGTCAAGCCAAGACTAGACTTGATAGTTGTTAACTTATTTATAGGTTAGGATTACTCATTCGGTTGTTTGTGGTGTTCCAACAGATATGGAAGTGTACCCATACACTTCCATATCTGTTGGCACAAACAACCGAATGAAAATATTGATCGATGTATCAATTATTTGATATAATGTTTGGTTAGGCCTAGTTAGGTAAGGTGGGTACAGTTTCTTAAGGTAACTGGGCTATGCTTATATCGCTTGAAACTATCGAATTGAAAATATTGATTAATAATCGATATTTTTAAATAGGCTATATTTATTATCAAATTAAACTATCATAACGTATCCTAACCAACCAAACTTGCTGATGATGAAAAAATCGCATGAAGGTTTACTAATCAAATCGATAGTTTCAATCGATATTAGTATAGCCCAGTTAAGAAACTACCCGGTAAGCAATAAAAGGTTAAATTACCTGTGTCCGCCAGTCGATCCTTATGTGCTGTGTCCCATCACAGGATATGCATTTTGGCAGAATAAATTGCCATCATCAGTCCTAATATAAGATCTTGATCTTCCCCGTTGGGTGCGTCTTGAAGTTTTGAAACACGTACACGAACTTTACACTTATATACATTACGAATAAAAGACAAATACACTGTAGGACTGAAGGCCTAATTTTATTTTGGGCCTGAGTGACAAATCCGGAGTGTACAAAATAACATGCAGTGAATGTAATAAATTCTATATTGGACAGACTGGCAGACCATTTATCAAGAGGTTTAAAGAACACCTTCCCAAAAATAGTTTAACACAACAATCCAATTTTGCCGAGCACCTAATTAGCAGCAATCATAGTTATTCCAGCCTAAATGAAAATTTAAAACCTTTACACATTTGTAGGAAAAGTCGAGTAATGTCATCACTAGAGCAATATGAAATTTATAGAGCATCTAAAACCAGCCCCCACAACCTCCTGAACGATAAAAGTACACTACAATCCAACATATTATTCGAATCATTGTTAAAATTGAATGAAACGCCACCTGTAGCTACAAAGGACAGAGACAGGACAAAGGTCAACTCTGCAAGTAACGTCTGACCCCAGTCGAGACTCGATACACGACCGACGCGCGTCTACATGTCCGTAGTAACTAAAATAAAAGTAGGCCTACAGTGTATTTGTCTTTTATTCGTAATGTATATAAGTGTAAAGTTCGTGTACGTGTTTCAAAACTTCAAGACGCACCCAACGGGGAAGATCAAGATCTTATATTAGGACTGATGATGGCAATTTATTCTGCCGAAATGCATATCCTGTAATAGGACACAGCACATAAGGATCGACTGGCGGACACAGGTAATTTAACCTTTTATTGTATGTCATACCGATCCGGAACAACAACAAACAACATAAAATGAAGTACCCGGTAAGGTTAACCTAACATAACTAACCAAACGATATATCAAATTAAACAATCGAATAATCAATATTAAACTCATTTGGTTGTTTGTGGTGTTCCAACAGATATGGAAGTGTACTCGGTTAGGGTGATACCTAAACCTAAACAAATCTGTACTCCTAAGTTAGGTCTAAGTACCGGTACATGGGTAAATGTATTTATATTAAATTTATGGTGTTCACTGTTCACTATGTAGCACTTAAGAGGTCATACAAAGGGACAATTTAGATGCATCTTTCTATGCCTCAGAAATTACGTTATACGTAGGAAAATGAAATCGAATTTCAGATTATGTTAGGTAGTGTTAGAATATTTTGTAATAAAGTGAGTGAAACACTTCGGCAGCCTTCACGACGATAAAACATATTGCATAGGCCCTAGCATCCAGAAAGTTAGCATACTCAACCATTTTTCCTTTTATTTGCCAAGTAGCTACTCGCTACCTGCATGCATGCAGTTTCAGTTTTATGGAATTGACTTTGCAGTGACAGTAACTTAGGCTAGATTCTATAAAAAGGCTTAAGGTAGGCCTAGGTGTATGGCTCCGGGAGTGGGATGTTTCCCTTTTCAGGGTATTTATCCTATTTTGTCGGCAATGCAGTACAAACCCATGTTCACCCCCTATTTTTGGGGCAAGGAATTCGATGAAACCATCACCGCCCCCCTACGACCCCCCTTTCTACCTACAAAGGGGGGGAAATGCCCCCCACCCCAAATAAGTCAAATATAAGTTAATATATTTTTTCATTATTAAGTTACCTACCTACATTGATTTATTACATTTTCCTCCATACAAATATACCCTTTTTTAATACTAATACCCCTCTTTTCTTATTAGGGGGCAAAACTCCCTTTTTATACATGTAAGTTATATGGTTTTTTAAAGAGTTTGTCGGTAAAGCAGTACCATGTAGGTTATATTTCCTATTTTTGGGGCGAGGAATTTGATGGAACCATCGCCGACCCCCTACGACCCCCCCCCCCTTTCTACTTACAGGGGGGGGGGAATAAATAATTTTATGCTCAAAAGGGTAACTCAGTTTTTAATGTTGTTCGAAAACAACTTCACTACCTATAGGCCTATATATATATACTACTGTATATACTTTTTATATATATATGCTAGTTCACTATGTACGTCTGCTAGTACGGTAGTGAGTTTTATATATTAGCAGAGTACTTGTCCTTCGTACGGAGTTAGCGTAGCCTATAATTGTAACATGCTTATTGCAGTTATAATCGTAAAATATAATATACTAGGTGGCGTTCGCAGAGGCATCCACAAAATTGAGCGGAGTCATCAAGGGTTCATATTATATTGTTTTTGTCACACTGCAGTAAAAACAGTTGTTTTTAATGCATGCGTTGCGGGTCTAAAGTAGCATTTTTACTCTTTAGGGAGTAAAAATCGTTTTTAGCCTCTATGGAGTAAAAATCAGCTGTTGTCAACTCAGTTGTAAATTTCTATTGTAAAAGATTGCATGTATTGAAATATGTATCGATTCGTGCTTCGTTCATTTTAACCTGCAATCCACAGTCTCTTCCCATAGCATTTTAGCATTGCATATACTATACATTAATCCATTCCCACACCCAACACTGCTCACCTTTACTACTTCCTTCACCACCCCCTACGCCGTGGTCCTGTTTCCCTCTCTTCCCATAGCATTTTTAGGATTGCAGATACATTAATGTAATTGCCAAAGACAGTTCCCACACTCTGCACTGCCAGCCTTTACTACTTCCTTCACCACTTCCTACGTCGTGGGGCCTGTTTCCTTCCCTTCTCATAGCATTTTAGGATTGAAGATACATTAATATAACTGCCACAGACGGTTCTCACACTATGCTCATACTTTACTACTTCCTAAGCCACTTCCTACATCGTGTACCTGTTTTCATTACTTTCCATAGCATTTTAGTATTTTAGATACGTTAATCTAACTGTCACAAACATTGCCCACACTCCGCACTGCTATCCTTTACTACTTCTTTCACCATTTTCTATGTCGTGGACATGCTTCCATCCCTTCTCATAGTATTTCAGCATTGCAGATACATTAATCTAACTGCTACAAACGGTTTCCAGTTCCCACACTCCACGCTGCTCACCTTACTACTTCCTTCACCTCTTTTAAGGTCGCGGACCTGTTTCCTTCTCTTCCCATAGAATTTTAAGACTGTAGATACCTTAATCTAATCGTCATAAACAGTTCCCACACTCCTTACAGATCGCCTTGAATACTTCCTTCACCACTTCCTACGTCTCGGACCTGTTTCCCTCCCTTCCCTTAGCATTATTGGATTGCAAATACCTTAATCTATTGGTCATAAACAGATCCCACACTCCGAACAACTCGCCTTTACTACTTCCTTCACCACTTCCTACGTCACGGACCTGTTTCCCTCCCTTTCCATAGCATTTTAGGATTGCAGATAGCAGATACCTTATTCTAATCGTCATAAACAGTTCCCACACTCCGGACAGCTCGCCTTTATTACTTTCCTAACCACTTCCTACATCACGGACCTGTTTCCCTCCCTTCCCTTAGCGTTTTAGAATTGCAGACACCTTAATCTAATCGTCATAAACAGCTTCCACACTCCGGACAGCTCACCTTGACTACTTCATTCACCACTTCCTACGTCGCGGACCTGTTTTCCTCCCTTCCCAAAGCATTTTAGGATTGCAAATACCTTAATCTAATGGTCATAAACAGATCCTATACCCCGAACAGCTCGCCTTTACTACTTCCTTCGCCACTTCCTACGTCGCGGACCCGCTTTCTTCCCTTCCCATTGAATTTTAGGAATGCAGATACCTCAATCTAATTGTCATAAACAGTTTCCACACTCCAGACTGCTCACCTTTACTACTTCCTACACCACTTTCAACGTCACGGACCTCAACCTAGTGTCTTCATTTGATTATACAGTATTTATGATCCATACAGTTTCTGTTCTAATATCTGTGGATATTGCTATCAGCTATTTCTTTATCTACTGCATTCAAAAGTCGACAGCTGATCATATGTCTTTGTTTTGTGTCAAATACTGCTTCCATAAGGATTACATTGAAACTTTGAGACCCAGTGGGGCGGATTCCTGAGAGACTTTCTTAACGCCATCTAGATTTTGGCACTCACCGATATGGTCTTTATCGCCATGCAAAATTTGAAAACAATTGATTCAGCCGTCTAGGAGGAGTTTGCGTATTACGAAATGCATAAGAGTCGACGTATAAGAGCTTTGCTCAATAAGCAAATGGCGTAAATATTATTAGGCCTAACTTAAATTTGTAAACATCTATATTTATAAAAGAGGAAGTTTGTATATCTATACTTCTATACTAATACCCTATATAAAAATGAGAATTGATAAAATTTGTGCCCTGATTAATAATAATAGTGGCTGGCGTTCT